ATGCAGGCAAGGGCAGCAATGCGCAGCGGGAATTTATTTATTTATATTTTTATATTTTTATTTTAGGGAAGGGTCTACAGGGTGTTCACTGTCTCACTACTAGATCAGAGTTGGAGTGATCCGCCTGTTTACAGCCTCCCAAGAGCTGGGATTACAGGCGTGCGCCACCCCCACACCCAGTCTCAGTTGCTGTCTTAGGGTGCCCCTGGCATGGCAGGCCCGGGGATCAAACTCCAATAGTTGACCTTCCTCTCTGTTCTTTGCCCTGAAAACTCCCAAAGAGCTAGATGCTTCTACGCTTCGGAGTGCCAAAGCACAAAATCCATCCTTTCGACCTGAATGGAGCCTGACTCAAGCTGAAGGCACCTCCATGCACGCCATCACGGGACCCAGCACCTGGGTCCCATGGGACACAAGGAAGGTCGTGAACAGCGCACACACTCCGGGTAGGATAAACTCTGTTGTCTCTGACTTGAAATTTTTCTTTCATCTTGACCAAAATATTTATAGTGCAATTTGGAAGGCTGTCAGTGAGGTGAGGGAGAGCGAGGGAGACTACAGGCTTCGCTGCCTCTGCCTGAGGGGAAAGCCGGTCTCCCCAATCTGTGCGGGGCCCAAAGAGGTACTTCCTTCCATTACTGTTAGCTGTGGGCAATGGCGACTTCTTGTTTTTGTTTTTGTTTTTGTTTTTGTTTTTTTTGGTGGGGGGAGTTGAGACCAAGTCTTGCTATGCAATCCAGGCTGGCCTTGAACTCATGATGTAGCTCCGGCTGGTCTCTATCCCACAAGAATGCTCTTGCCTCAGCGTACTGAGTACTGAGATTACAGGTGTGTGCCACCATGTCTGGTTCCAATAATGAATTTTACAAATATATAAAATAAACTTCTCAAGGCAGCTGGGCGTGGTGGTATGAAGCAGTATTTGCATATACCCCATATAGTAAGTCATCTCAAAATTACTTATAATATCTAATACACTATTTAACTGAATACCATGTGTGCTGAATATTGCAGAATTGACTTATACTTCCTAATACTACACACACACTGCAGAAATTGTTGTGCTGTACTGTTCCCTGCCGTGGTGCTCTCAAAGGGCCACGTATGTCTCAGTGCTGACAGTCATCATGGGAACAGCACTGGCCAGACAGCCCCGCAGACTAAAGCGCCTTCTTAGGTAGACGCAGGGACCAGGGTTTGATCCCCGGTATGCGTGGCCGGCCCAGCCCCCGGGGCGTGCTGATATATGATACGGAACCCACAGATACAAAGACACTAACTGCATATAGAAATTCTGTTGTCAGGAATTTGGTCATCATTAAAATGTTCATTTGTGCACTGTAAAGACAGGATGTACAGAGAACATAACAAAATGCCTATGATTGTGCAACAGGAGATAACAACTTTGGTAAGTGCTGTTGGACCAATTTTTTCCTGCATCTCTATTTTCTATATAACATGATTATCTTTTAAAATAAAAGGTATTAGGGGCCGGGGAGATGGCTCAGTGGAATAAGTGCTTCCCTGGCAAGCACAAGAGCCTGAGTTCGCAATTAACCACTAAGAGGAATATATGAGGGGCCAGGGAGATGGCTCAGTGGAATAAGCGCTCCCCTGGCAAGCGCAAGGGCCTGAGTTCAATCCCTGGTTCCGAAAAAAAAAAAAAAAAAAGAATATATGCAGTGTGTTATTTGTTGAAACTGTACTTGCGATTTGATTTGAAACTGTCTCACTGCTGTTTATCAATAAAATTTTGGAAAAAAAAATGAACAAGAGCCTGAGTTCAATCCTTGGTTCTGCAAATAAATAAATAGTATGTGGACTTGAAACCTTTGGCCTCCTGCCTGCTAGGCAAGCGCTTTACCACGGAACCCCTTCTGAATTCTCGCATAGTACAAAGTTTTCCACACAATTAAATATTTTTTGAATTAAATGTCTTATTTTATTTACTTTTTATTTTTTTTGGCAGAACTGGGGATTGAACTCAGATCTTTGCATTTGCCAGTCAAGCGCTTATCCTACTGAGCCATCTCCCTGGCCCCGTATTTACTTTTGGCGGAACTGGGGATTGAACTCAGACCCTTGCACTTGCCAGGGAAGCGCTTATTCCACTGAGCCATCTCCCCAGCCCCACACACAATTAAATATATCTGAACCTGAGTTTTACTTTCTTCTTCTCCCTCTTCTCCCTCTCCTTCTCCTTCTCCGGTACCATGGATTGAACTCAGGACCCTGAACTTGCCAGGCAAGCACTTAATCTACTGAGCTATCTTGCCCTTGAGTTTTTTTTTTTTTTTTTCAGAACTGGGGATTGATTTTTGTTTTATTTTTTGCCCCCCAGAACCAGGGATTGAACTCAGGCCCTTGCGCTTTCCAGGCAAGCGCTTATTCCACTGAGCCATCTTCCCGGTCCCCTCGCCCTTGAGTTTTATAACACATTTTTTTTTTTAAACATTCTTTTTTTTTTTTAACATTTATTTATTTATTTAGTGTGTGCGTGGCCAGCTCAGCCCACCAGGGGGCGGACGCGGGAGGCGCCTGCCTGGCGCCCGCTTCATCACAAGTCTCCCTCCCTTTGCCGATGACTCTTCGGTCCTGAGACTGGGTTTCAAACGCCAGGAGCTGTCCTTCCAGTCAGCTGGGCAGCCGGTCATCGCTCAGGCTAAGGCAAAGCCACGAGGCCTCTGTCCGACTGACAGAAGAGGAAACAATCGCGAGGGGGCCTGAAGCCCAGGAGGAGAGGGCGCCCGACCCTGGGAGCTGGGGCCCCTCGGTGGCGAGTCGCTGCTCTGGGCGCCCCTGGTGGCCGCCAGCTCATCTCGCCCGAAAGAGATCTGACCTGTGCGAAGGCTGCTCTGATTCTTTTTTTTTACTTTATTATTATTATTATTTTTTTGCGGAACCAGTGATTGGACTCAGGCCCTATTCCACTGAGCCATCTCACCAGCTCCCTGCTGGGATTCTGATGGGCTTTCCTTTACAGGTGATTTGTTTCTTTCCTCTAACAGCTTTCGTGGTTTTCTTTTTCCTCCCTTCCTGTATTTTAGGGAGGGGTCTGCAGGGTGTTCAGGGTCTCACTACTAGATCGGACTCACAGTGATCCTCCTGTTTACAGCCTCCCAAGAGCTGGGATTGCAGGCGCACATCACTAGGAGCAGTCTCAGTGTGCCCTGGGGTGGGGCTGGCACAGCAGGCCCGGGATTGAACCCGCGGCCCCTGTGCCTGCTTGTAGGCGCTTTAATCCACTGAACTATTTGGCCGGCCTTGTTTTGAATTTTTGGAACCGTACTATTATATGGTAGGCATATACGCGTCTGTGTAGACGGTTTCTGGTCACAGCCAACTGGACTTCTATCTGCCTCACACACCTCTGTATGTCAAATTCTTTCTCTCTGCCAGTTTCCTACCATGACGTCTGTGAATAGGTCTGATATGTTCTCTTGTTTGTTTGTTTTTTTTTCCATTGAATCTGATCAACCTTATGTTGTTCTCTGCATCAGCTTGAAGCTGCTAGACTGAGTTTTCAAAGGGTTCTTTGCTATTTCTATTTGTAAGAAAACATTCTTTTTGTGATGGTTCATCACAATCACACTTCCAGATCTGACTACGTCCGCACTGCTTCACTCACTAAGCCAGTCCTGAGATTCCATTTTACTCCAGAAAGAACAGCCATCGGTAAAACATCAAGAAGGCTTTTTTTTTTTTTTTGTATGGAAAAAGAGCCTTCCTCCACTGCTGGAGGGAGTGTGGACTGGTGTTACAACTATAGACATCAGTGTGGAGATTCCTCAAAAAACTAAAGCTAGCGGTTCCATTTGACCCAGATATTCCTCTTCTTTGTATCTTCCCAAAATGAATGTAAAGCATCAGGGACAGGGAGACAGCCCAGCTGTCTAAGCCCCTGCCTGGCAAGCCCAAGGACATGGCTTTGATCCCCAGTAGCACATGATGTGCCAGCCCTGGCCGGGGCAGGCACTGAAGCCGGGTGTGGTGGTGCACACCTGTAATCCCAGCGCTGGGATCACTAGGAGTCCTAGTTGCATAGTGAGGCCTGTACTAAATACATAAATAGAAGATTTTTTTAATTAAAAAGAATTTTTTAAAAATTAAAAAGAATTTAAAGCATCGTCCCATGGCAATAAACACACACGTGTTTCCGGAGGCACGGTCTGTGACACCTAACCCTTGGAAACCGCCCACGACCATCACCAGAAGAACGGATGAAGATGTGATATTTTCATATAATGGATTACTATTGTGCCATCAAGAAGGAGAAAACTGGGGCACTTACAGGTAAAAGGCTGCACTCTCAGGTGAAATCAATCAGAGGCACATGTACACATCCCACCGTTTCTCTGCTATGGGAAACTGAAAGCATACATAAGGACCAAAATGTACAATAGATACCAGAAAAAAGAAGCAAACTGTCAAATGGAAGGAGAAAAAGGGAGGGAAAAGAAGGAGAAAAAAGAATAGCAGGGGGCGGGGAGATGGCTCAGTGGAATAAGCACTTCTCGGCAAGCACAAGGGCCTGAGTTCAATCCCTGGTTCCACCAAAAAAAAAAAAAGAAAAGAAAAGAAGTATAGCAGGAGAATATCGGAAACAAAGCTTTTATAAATAAGGAGGAGAAGGGGGAGTGAAGGGAGGGGAGGCAAATGGGAGAAAAACGAATCAAAATCTCTTATGCACAGGTACAAATTCCCTACACTGAAGGTATCGCCATGTATATCTACAATGTACCAATAAAAAGAACATGATTTTTTAAGAAGTCTGGCTTTATTTAGGTGAGGGCCACAGGCTCGAGATGCGGCCCACGTGAGCCCGCCCTGACCCGCCCTCCTCGCCAGAAGCCGGTCCTCACTGCGCTCCTGAAGACAGAAAGCCATCCTCCACCTCCGTCCAAATGAAATCATTCCCATCTTTATTTTCAAAAAATGTTTCTTGAAATGGAAAATGCAATCTGTCTTTCCTAACAGAAGAAAACAAAAAAGTAACTTACAATAACTTCTCTAAAGGACTCCTGGTCGTTGATTGTCTTATCTTCTGTACATCCAGATTGATTCAAGTAATGGTAGTTTTCTGGCACAGATAAATAAAATTCTTCTGCAGAAGAGAAAGAGCATAACATCAACATCCCACTAGCTGGGGTAAGAAGGGGTTCAAGAGTTCATTCTATGATTTTATTTATTTATTTATTTATTTAATTTATTTGTTTTGGTGGAACTGGGGATTGAACTTAGGCCCTTGCACTTGCCAGGGAAGCGCTCATTCCACTGAGCCATCTCCCCAATTCCTGTTTTATTTTTTTAAAAGAGGCTCTCAAAAAAAAAAAAAAAAAAAAGGCTCTCACTCCGTGGTCTGGGCTGGTGTTGAACTCCCCATGGAGCCCAGGCTGGCCTCAAAGTCGCAACTGCTGGGAAGCGCCCAGCAGCAGGACCGGTGCCTGCGCGGGTCCAGCTGGCCTCACATGCGCTGAGCTGCGCGCCCCACCTCGGCCGCCGTTCACTCACTCACTCACCTCTCTCTCCCGGGCCCAGCCCAGCCAGCAGCGCATAGAATATGTGATAATTCCTCTCCCCTGGATTTTGCCTTACTACCCGGTTCTGTGGAGAGAAATCAAATTTGCACTCGGAGCTGTTTCAGCTGCTTAACTCTGACAAAGCGATAATCACGGATAAAGGTCACTGGGGAAAGATGAATTAAATCACGTGTACTTACTTTTTCTAATAAATCTTCATGTGAAAAGCAACGGCAAGTCAAGGAATAAAACAAAGACAAAAGGGACAGAAACAGTCTCTCATTTCCTTTCTTAAAAACAGTTAGGGGGCCAGGGAGGTAGCTCAGCAGAATAAGCACTTGCCTGGCAAGTGCAGGGTCCTGAGTTCAATCCCTGGTACCACAAAAAAAAAAAAAGAAAGAAGAAACCAGTTAGGGCTCTCTGCTGTGCTGACACTGAAATTTCCTGCATCAGAAGACAAGCAAAGCAAGCACAGACTGCTTTACCCAAATCCAACTCCAGCTATGCCCTATCGGGTACTGAGCCATGAGCGGCGGGTGTGTGTGTGTGTGTGTGTGTGTGTGTGTGTGTGTGTCACACCAACACCTAATGCTGGGTGACTGTTGTGGTCAGATGTGGTCTGACTGATAAAAAACAAGGAACAGGAGCTGCAGAGATAGCTCGGAGGTCTAAGTGCCTGCCTGGCAAGTACAAGGATCCTCAAGGGTCCTGTGCAGCCGACCTGGTCCCAGTAAGGGGGTGCTAGGCAGACAGGACTTTATTTTTTTATTTTTTACTTAAAAAAAAAATTTTTTTTTTAAAATTTATGTGTGTGTGTGTGGCCAGCTCAGCCCACCAGGGGGCGGGGCTGGCTGGCATGTGGTGCTGGGGGATTGAACTGCAGTCGCTGTGCTTTGCTAAGCTTGTTCTAAGTAGGTGCTTTAGACCACTGAGCCATCTCACCAGCCCCCAAAAAGCCAATATTCATAATCCCAAAGTTACGTTATTGGAATCCCATCAAATTGATTCCAATCTACCACTTACAATGCAACCCACGGCAAAAACAAAGACACTAAATTATATCTTCAATCATCAGGGAGTCAGGGGCTCTAAGTCCAGCCACGAAGATGGCTTTCTGGAACCAAGAGAGCGACCCAAGGCCTCACCTAGCTTTATTCAGTGGGGGAGTGGCTTGAGGAGGATTGACTGAGAACTGTGGGAAAGAGACTACTATGAGCTGAGCTGGGTGGGTGGCCTACGTTTACCTCTGCGATATGCAGAGAGGATATGCAGAGAGAGTAATCTGCATTATATAGTGTCTAACGTTTTGGTAAGTCTCGTGCTTCAGCTTTGGTGTAGCCTTTCAAGCCCCAGGAAGTCACGGCCTCTGTCCTGAGGCTCGATCCCAGCTGGCAGTGCGGAGCATTAGCTCTACCATCTTGTCTCAACCCGGCTCACATTAAAGAGCAGCAGGTGTAGGTTACGAGGGAAACACGCACGCCACCTTCAGAGACTCACCAGCACCTCAGCTAGACCAATACACATTGCTTAAGGCCAACTGAAGGAAAAACAGAAGTCCTCGCCAGCTCTGTACAGAACAATACAAGGAAATAGGGTCAGGCTCAGTCAAAATGGAGACAAACGCTCTTCTTTCAAGGAGAGCTGCTCAGGTGGTCCTCCACAATCCCTGGTACCAGGGATTGAACTCAGGACCTTGTGCTTGCCATGGAAGCGCTTATTCTACTGAGCCATTTCCCTGACCCCTATTTTTGCTTTTTTGAGAGAGGATTTTGCTACGCAGTTCAGGCTGCCCTTGAACTCAAAGCAATCCTCCTGCCTCAGCCTCCTGAGTGTTGGGATTACAGATGTGTACCTCCACACTCAGTTGTTTGTTTCTTTTGTTAAAAAACCTCTTTCCTTTATGAAGTACCCACCATTAGGTATTCTGTTATAGCCACAGAAAACTGACTGATAAAACAATGAACAGGAGCTGCAGAGATAGCTCGGAGGTCTAAGTGCCTGCCTGGCATGTGCAAGGATCCAGGCTTGATCCCTGGTACAGCATGCCATGCTGGCCCGTGCCAGGCTGGCCACTGAAACTGGGTGTGCTGGTGCATGCCTGTAATCCTAGTGCTGGGGAGGCTGAGGTAGAAGGATACTATGGGTCCGAGGTGCGTAGCAAGACCCTGTGTGGAATAAATAAATACTTTAAAAACCCCAATGCACACAATCTTCTTTCCGATTGGAGGAGAGCCATGCAAAATGGTTCTTCACATTACAGAATAATTCATACACTAAGTACAGTAACATGAAAGCAGGAACAAGGTAGAGCCAGAGTAGGACATGTTTCATGCAATTTCTGGATCCTTGAGATAAAGGAGTGCAGACGCGGCACTCCTTGAAACTCCATGAAGCAGGATACAATCTACAATCCTCCCGCCCTGGATATTTCCTTTCTGACAGAAGTGCAGCTGAACAAACTTCCCGAAGCGACTAGAGTTGTTGTTGTACACCGTCTTCGCGTTGCCGAAGGCCTCCATGATGGGGCTGCAGAGGAAGGAGTGTGGCAGAGCAGGTTAGTCAGGGCAGAGCCAAAACCAGAAGCGTTCCTCACAAACGGCCACACGGACACTGGCGAGGAGCAAAGGCCGCGGGCCGAGGATCTGGGGTGACGGTGTCCACCTCCCACAGCCAGCTCTCCTCAGTGTGGTGTTGTGGGTTCAGTCTTCTCATCTACTGTGGACGAGAGGGGGAACCCACAGCCGGTGGGGTTACCAAGGATGCCGCACAGCTGCCCAAGGGAGCCACAGCAGACAGGCACCCCAGGGGTACACGGACGAACCCGCACTCAGATCCTAGAAGCTGGAGAGGTTCCGCCCCGGGAGTTTCACCCTCTCGCTGTGCCAACCATCGAACGCCTTCGGGGGTTTGCCCAGCATGACACGGTGCTCCTGGCCCAGGGATCGGCATCCCTCCTCTGCCAGGGCCCAGCTGATGTGCTGGGCTTTGCAGGCGCTCTATGGTCCCTGTCACCGTATCTCAGCTCTGCCACTGCAGCCTGAGAGCAACCACAGATGGTGCAGACGAGCAGGGCTGGGTCCAGGAACACTGCACAAAAAGCTAAGAAGGCAGATGAAGAGAGACGCTGGAGACACACTGGGCTGGTGGCCGCACGGCGTGTGGGCCAACTTGGCGCTACTGGGCGGACCCCTGAGAAAAGGGCAAATGCTGAACCTGTTATCTACGGTTTACTAAAAATGGAACTGCTTAAAAAATCCAACAAACCAGGCAGCAGGCTATGGGAATCAGACTGCAGTTTGCCAACTCCTGGACAACCCTAAGTTAACAGCATCTGCAGTGTTTCTTGAGGTTTTATCTGTTGTTTTGTGTCAAGACGCGCCTGCAGCGCTTCGGGACCACATCCTTCGTGGGGCGAGGGTGCATGTCCGTAGCACACCTCCATTCCTCTTTGTCCCCTTCCCTCACCCTCCCCTCCCGCAGTCTCGTAGGTTCTAAACTCTTACGAGGTGCCAGTCAGATCCCGGGCTAACGCATCTCCCAAGTGACAATCCAGATGACACCCGGCTACACAGCTTCCCTGCTGTCATGGCAGAGACTGCAGAAAAGCGACTCCCAGATGGCCACTGGACAGAGCCCGCTCACATGGTGCTGGGCAGGCAGCACGTCTGCGGGGTATCAAAACCCTGCTGAGCTTTAGTCTCCAAAAAATCCCCGACTTGCCCAGGTCCTTCAGAAACGGAGGAGGCTGCAGAGGAGCCCAGCTTCCAGGGGGGAAGGAGGCCAGGGCTGCTCCTCTGCCACGCAGGCGCCATCTCGGCCTGGCCGAGGATGAAGGGAAGGACCCCTCACGGCCAGTGGGAGGCACCGCGCACCCAGTTTCTTAAGGAACTGTGAAGGGGACGCGAGAGAAAGAGACACCAGGCCATCTACTTTGAACTCCCGTATCCCGTGGGGATGTGAATCCCTACTGGACTCTGCCACAAGAAGGTGAATACGACGGACCTGCTTTCCAGGATAGCCTGCTCCACACAGGACACCCTCTCCTTCACTGGCAGCTCCACAGCCTGCTGGCTGGCGGCTGACAGGAACTTCAGGATCAGTTTTGTGCTTTCGGTTTTGCCTGCCCCGCTTTCACCGCTGAAAGACAAAAGCAGAAGGTAGGCTCAGGAGAAAAGGCGTGGAAAGGTGGAGCAAGGGGGCAGCGCATGCCCCATCCTGCAGGGCACCCTGCTTCTGGTTTGCCACAGCCCCGTTTTTCGTAAGTGGAGCTCAGAAGATGGGGGTCGCCTCTCCCAGTGTGGAAGCCACATGGTGGTAAGGACCTTCCTTCAGTTCTCTGATACCCTGACACCCCTGGCTGGCGGCAGGCACTTGCTACACGTTGGCTAAATGAATGAGCATATTAACAGCATCTTTCTGGATGGCTCAGAGCAGATAAAGGTGCATAAAATGAAACCACTCATCAACCAAGATGACAGGGCGACCCTGCGGGCACACGATGACCCCTGCCAGCCATGCTCTTCCTGCAGAACGGAATGAAGGAGACACGAACACCACAATCGCATCTGAGCAGCGCTGGGCAGCAGGCAAGGAGAAGAGGAGGAGCAGGAGAGGCAGGAGTGCGAGGAGGCGCACAGAAGCCAGGGTGGCCTCAACAGCCCTTCAGCACAGAGCTGTGGCAGACAGGCCACAGGTCAGCTGGCCAGATGGTACCGTGACAGAGAAGGCCAGGCGAGGATGGACCCATCTGGGTCGCCAGTGAAGGGCAGAGCCCCAAGGAGAATCTGCTAAGGAGAGGGGGCTGGGCTGTGGCTGCTCCAGTCTTAGGCAGCAGGCTCTCAAGTCCTGGATGTAGGTAAAGGGGTGTTGCAGAATACAGAATGGGTGGGGCCGGGGAGATGGCTCAGTAGAATAAGCGCTTGCCTGGTAAGCACAAGGGCCTGAGTTCAATCCCTAGTTCTACAAAAAAAAAAAAAAAAAAAAAAACCCAAAAAAAGAATACAGAATGGGTGTGAGATGGGGGAGAAGGGGGCCCAATCTGTTCTGCCTGGGGCTCCATGCTCGGGGCTATAGCAAGGATGGAACAGCAAGAAACTAGAACTTATGGGAACCGCCGGTAAGCAAAAGGTTAAGCAGCCGCACAGGACACACACACACACACACACACACACACACACACACGGCAGCAGACCCTGGGAACTCTCAGAGACCTCCCGATGGACCACCAGGATCTGCCATTATCTGAGGCAGGAAGGCGCTGCAAGTGTGTGAGCGGCACACAGGCGGGACGAGTTGCAGAGGTCAGCACTCAAGCCAGGCCGGGGCCTCAGCCCTGGGAGGCCCTGCCGGTCCAGGCCACACAAGGCCGCCCCACCCCAGGCGTCAGGGCCAGGCCGGGGAAGGTAGCAGGAGCCCAGGCACAGGGACCTCCTGCCTGGCGCTGTGGCGTCCTCACAAGGTTCACATGCACAGGAAGACAGGCAGTAGCGCGTCCTTCATGCAGACGCGGATCGCTGAGAATCCTCACCCGTCCCACACCAAGAATCTACACTGGCTTGGGAGTCTAAAGCAGAAGGAAGCCGAGAAAGTCAGATGAGCCCGGCAGGCGTGGCAGAGCCAGCGCCTTGAACCGCCCAGCCTGGCACCATGTGAGGTGACAGATGGCCCAAGGAAGCAGGGCCAGCCTTGGCTCACTGCACGGGGGTATTCACCCTCAGCCACAGTGTTCTGAGGGACTCTAAACAATTCTCCACACTTCACAGAACACAGAACTGTGGATCTTTGTAGCAGTTGTGCTGGCTGAATTAGTGAACACAGAAGGGTTCGTTAGGCTTGGTGAGGAGGGAACCGCCGAGTCTGTGCTGAACCCACAGGGTGCATATCCTCATTATTTACTTATTTTGGCGGAACCAGGGATTGAACTCAGGCCCTTGCGCTTGCCAGGGAAGCGCTTATTCTACTGAGCCATCTCCCCGGCCCACATCCGTATCCTCAGAGGCACAGGATGCCACCTGCAGCCTCCTCTGGAGTAAGAGCAGCCAGGCAGGCGCATGGGAACGGCGCCAACAGCCGCGAGCGCAATAGCTCTTTGCACCACGTGCTCACGGTGTACGATGCATGATTGAATTCCACGTCTTCACGAGGCGAGGCGCAATTGGAAGTAGTGAGAGCCGCTGCCTGCCATTGGGGCGCAAGACAGGCTCGATTACCATGGTGCTGTCTCCCGCTTGGGCTCATTCACCAGATCTGGCCCTACATGACCCCTGGCTCTTCCCCAAGGTCAAAATGACCACGAAAGGCTATCGCATTTTGACCGCATTGCGGACCCTGGGCAGCCATGGGAGTCTGTGCACTCATGCAGACTCGGGAGAAGGAAAGGCATAGTGAGAGGTGGAATGAGAACGTGAGAGTGGAGCGGGGAGCAGAGCAGTGGCCGGAGAAGCCACAGCAAACTGCAGGACTGCACCGGAGGGGAGTGGGCGGGGATTCTCCCAGGAATGGTCGCGCTCAGTGATGACATCAGTGAGTCAGTGAAAGCAGAGAGGTCGGAGTCAGGGCACCCAGGCTGACACTGGGCTGGGTCCTCGGGAAAGCAGGGGCGTGACCCAAGCACCCCTGGGGAGGGCACCTGCCTGCATGTCCCTGACCCTCCGTCTGGCCAGTCTCCTAGCACGGTGTGCCGGGCTGACAGCTTCCTCGATCTGGGGCAGGTGCCCGCAAACTGTGGCCCTCAAGTCCTCATGCTGCCTGTTTTTGCTGTTGGATTTTTTGTTTGTTTTTGTTTGTACCTGGGCTAGAACTCAGAACCTTGTGCTTGCCCAGCAGGCACTTACGCCGCCTGCGCTATCTCCCCAGCCCTATGTTTTTACAGTGAAGTTGTTTGGGAAGAGCCTGCTTATCCCTTCACACAGTCTGTGAGTGGCTGTGTACCCCAGACTCATACCCCAAAGCAGCTGCGACGACAGGTAGCTCTGCCCTCATGCTTACAATGCCCCTTTGTCCCTCTCACCAGTCCTTCCTTGGCTAGCATTGGCTTTCCTATGGATGAATTCCCTTGAGTCACACAATCCTCACAAAATACAAACCAGGCACCTCATGGCTTTTGAGAAGACTGGACACGTCACGTATTGGGGCCAAAGGCACAAGCGAGCTAAGCAAAGCCCTTAAGTGCGACCCTGCTCCAGGAAGTCAGGTTTGATGACTGCAGAGACTTGAGTCAAAAGCCTGTGTTTGTGGCTAAACACTGAAGTCTCCTTTTCAAGATGCTCCGCATTCCCAAGCCTGTTTCCTCATTGCTCCATCTCTGTCCTCCTAGCCTGGCTCCCCATCTCCTGTGCTGCTGGGCTGTCGTACCAGGACACTAGATACATTTCTAGGAACAGAAAGACCAAATACCCAATTATCAATTATCATTCTAGGAGGTAAAAAAGAAACAGTTAAATGAAATTGCGTCCTATTTTTTTTTTTTTTTTTTGCAGAACCAGGGATTGAACTCAGGCCCCTACTCTTGCCAAGGAAGTGCTTATTCCACTGAGCCATCTCCTCGGCCCCAATTTTGTCTTCTGACACCACTACATCTTAAAAGGTCTGACACAGAAAAATATCAAGTTAAACTAAACCTCACCCGCCCCACAGCCCACACGATGTACAAAAATAGTCAAGTTTATCAGCTGGGGAAATAGTTCAGTGGCATAAGCACTTGCCTGGCAAGCGCAAGGCCCTGAGTTTGATTCCCCAGTACAAAAATAAAATAAAATAAAATAAAAATAAAAATATTAAATGTATTAGATCAACCAAAGTCAAATGCTGACTTTAAGGGTAAAATAAAGCTAAATGCGGGCCTTCTACCACACACAGGCACCACTCTTGAAACGCAGTCAGAAAAAGAGGCATGGATCTGAAGCATGCAGGTCTGATACTGTTGCTAGAGCCAGGGACCTCATTATCCCAGCAGTGCACAGTCAGAGAGTGACAGAAGGTGGAGCCATAAAGTGCTGCTCAGCTCCAAATATCCATAAGAGGGGCTGAGGATTGAGTATTTTCTGATTTTAAAAACACTAGTGGGCCGGGGAAATGACTCAGTAGAATAAGCTCTTGTCTGGCAAGTGCAAGGGCCTGAGTTCAATACCCCCCCCAAACCAAACCAAACCAAAGCAACCCACTAGCAAAATAGAATGTTTTGGAAATAGTGAAATACATTGCATCCACCAGGGGGCAGATGATCCCAAGGAACTCTAAATGGAGCTGCAGAACCCAAGCAGCAATTCCTTTTCTCCCAATTCCTACAGCCCCATCTCATCCTCACTTAAGCAAAACAAAACAAAACAACAAAAAACCCAAATCAAAAGTAAACAGCAGGGCTGGGGAGATGGCTCAGTAGAATAAGTGCTTCCCTGGCAAGCACAAGGGCCTGAGTTCAATCCCCAGCTAAGAAAAAATAAACAGCTGAGGGCCGGCCAGATAGTTCAGCAGACTGAAGAGGGGTTCAATCTCCAACCTGCTGTGCTGGCCCTGCACCCCCCCATCCCCCAATGCACTGAGCTGGCCACTGAGGCTGGGAGTGGTGACACGCACCTCTAATCCCAGCACTTGGGGGCTGAAAACAGGAGAATCACTACGAGTCTGATCTGTGTAGTGAGACCCTGCAGACCCTGTACTAAATACGTAAAATAAATACTACAGTCTTTGGCATGGATGTGCCAACCCCCTTCCATTTCATTACACATGCACGCATGCACGGGCACACACGTACACAGCGCATGCACGCATGCGCACACATACAAAGCGTATGCATGCAGGTGCACGCACATACACATCACATGCACACAGGTGTACACACATACGGCGCATGTACACAGGTGTACACACATACGGCGCATGCACACAGGTGTACAC